TTATGAAGAAAAGTCGTAAATTTATGGCTGTCGGCGTCTGTTAAGATGTCGAGGAAAGGATTTTATTGTTAATATTGTGTTGATAATTCAATTGTAGTATGGAGTTATTCTCAAAGGTTTCTTTAAGTTTGAGATCCTGGTTAATTATTTATTTTTAACCTATCAAATTTGGCCTTTTTTTCCGATTGAACGTTCACCCTCTCTCTCTCTCTCTCTCTCTCTCTCTCACCTACTCAGTCACTCAGTCACTCAGTCACTCACTCACTCTCACTAGCTCTGTCTGTCTGTCTCTATTTTTCTTTCCAGTACTTTTTCGGTTTTTTTTCTGTCCTTTTTCATATTCGCACTTTCTTTTTCTTCCTTTCTTTTTCTTCCGTTTTACTTTCTTTCTTTTTCTTTCTTTTCACTCCCGTTTATTTTGTTTCGTTCTTTCTTTCTATTCTATTCACGATTTCTTTCTTTCTTTCTTTCTTTCTTTCTTTCTTTTTGTTACATTCACTTTACAATTCGTTTATTTCCTGCCTTCCTTCCTTCCTTTTTTCTTCGTTTCTTTCTTTTAAGTGAGCATCTTTTTTTCTATTCCATTCACGTTTTTATTCTTTCTTTCTTTCTTTCTTTCTTTCTTTCTTTCTTTCTTTCTTTCTTTCTTTCTTTCTTTCTTTCCGTTCAACTTGTTTCGTTTTTTCTATACAATTCAGCTTCTTTCTTTCTTTCTTTCTTTCTTTCTTTTCTTTCTTTCTTTCTTTTCTTTTTCTTTCTTTCCGTTCAACTTGTTTCGTTTTTTTCTATACAATTCAGCTTCTTTCTTTTCTTTCTTTCTTTCTTTCTTTCTTTTCTTTCTTTCTTTCTTTCTTTCTTTCTTTCCGTTCAACTTGTTTCGTTTTTTCTATACAATTCAGCTTCTTTCTTTCTTTCTTTCTTTCTTTCTTTCTTTCTTTCTTTCTTTCTTTCTTTCCGTTCAACTTGTTTCGTTTTTTCTATACAATTCAGCTTCTTTCTTTCTTTCTTTCTTTCTTTCTTTTTTCTTTCTTTTCTTTTCTTTCTTTCTTTCCGTTCAACTTGTTTCGTTTTTTTCTATACAATTCAGCTTCTTTCTTTCTTTCTTTCTTTCTTTCTTTCTTTCTTTCTTTTTCTTTCTTTCTTTCTTTCCGTTCAACTTGTTTCGTTTTTTCTATACAATTCAGCTTCTTTCTTTCTTTCTTTCTTTCTTTCTTTCTTTCTTTCTTTCTTTCTTTCTTTCCGTTCAACTTGTTTCGTTTTTTCTATACAATTCAGCTTCTTTCTTTCTTTCTTTCTTTCTTTCTTTCTTTCTTTCTTTCTTTCTTTCTTTCTTTCTTTCTTTCTTTCCGTTCAACTTGTTTCGTTTTTCTATACAATTCAGCTTTTTCCTTTCTTTCTTTCTTTCTTTCTTTCTTTCTTTCTTTCTTTCTTTCTTTCTTTCTTTCAGTTCAACTTGTTTCGTTTTTTTCTATACAATTCAGCTTTTTCCTTTCTTTCTTTCTTTTTTTTCTTTCTTTTCTTTCTTTTCTGTTTGTTTAATGTATTATGCCTCTTGAATGAACCCCTTAGGGACATGAATCAGTCTGACTGACACAAAACTTCTTATCAGAACTTAGATAAACGCAAATCCTTTTCTTCAAATGCAACTTCTGTTTTTGTCGCCATTTTTAGTCTGAAGTAAGAGACATATTAACCTACAAGAAAGCAATATCTGTTTTATGCATACGTGCACACAGGAGCCAACAGCCTCTACTTGGAGAAGCAGATAGAAAAGAGCACCTTACTTGCAAACCTAATAAAATGATTTAGGTACTTGTTTCCTATTAAATGTTGCTTTGGGCCATTTTTTTAAAACCAAAAACTGTTTAGAAAAAAATGAAATAAAAAATAACGTTGATAAAAGCCACATTTCTTTGTTTTCTTGAAGAGAAATATTTTTGCTAAAAATAATTGCTTAAACTGGCAAATACATGGATATTTCTTGCTTGGTTAAATTAAAGCAAAACCTTATTTTTACACAGTACGTCCATATATATATATATATATATATATATATATATATATATATATATATATATATATATATTATTTATGTATATGGTGGACTCTCCTGTCGTATTCGACGTATGAGGGTCAACAGCTCAGTCACTAGGAATCGACCGACAGCCAGGCACCAGCACATGTGATTTGATTAGAGTGGTGAAGGCTTTGTGCATTATCAACCCACACATTTTGAAGTATCTATCTATCTATCTATCTATCTATCTATCTATCTATATATATATATATATATATATATATATATATATATATATGTGTGTGTGTGTGTGTGTGTGTATATACAAGGTCTATTTACATAGCAGGTAATTATCTAAATTTTTTATTAAAAAGAATCGACAAGATCTGTCCGTTTAATTTTTATTGTATTTTTCCAATTTTCGAACGTTAATTTTTTGGGCAAATAGGTTCTCTTCGTAATAGAATTCTCCCAGTTCGCTGTTGTATTAAAAGGAGTGGAAAAGGCGGAGGAAGTACAAGGGGGGGAAAAGACAGAGGAGGTAGAAGCGGGAGAAATCGGGGAGGAGGTAGAAAGGGAGGAAAAGTCGGAGGAGGCCGAAGGAGAATAAAAGACGGATGAAGCCGAAGGAGATGAAAAGACGGGGGAGGCAGAAGAAGAAAAGGAGGAGGAGCTGGAAGGGGAGAAGAAGACGGAGGAGGTAGAATCGCAATAAATCGAAGAGGAAGAAATGGAGGAAAAGGCGGAGGAAGCTGAAAGAAAAGTAAAGGTGGAGGAGGTAGAAGGGGAGGAAAAGACAGAGGAGCTACAAGGGGAGGAAAAGACGGAGGATGTAGAAGAGGGAGAAATCGGGGAGGAGGTAGAAGAGGAGGGAAAGACGGTGGAGGTATAAGGGGAGGAAAAGGCAGAGGAGGTAGAAGAGGAGGAAAAGACGGTAGAGGCATAAGGGGAGGAAAAGGCGGAAGAGGTAGTAGGGTAGGAAAAGGCCGAAGAAGTAGGAGAGGAAAAGGAGGAGGAGAAAGAAGGGGATTTAAAGGTGGCGGAGGTAGAAGGAGAGGAAAAGGCGGAGGAGGTAGAAGGAAAAGAAAAGGTGGAGGAGGTAGAAGGGGAGGAAAAGGCCGAAGAAGTAGGAGAGGAAAAGGAGGAGGAGAAAGAAAAGATTTAAAGGTGGCGGAGGTAGAAGGAGAGGAAAAAGCGAAGGAGGTAGAAGGAAAAGAAAAGGTGGAGGAGGTAGAAGGGGAGAAAAGGCAGAGGAAGTAGGAGAGGAAAAGGAGGAGGAGAAAGAAGGGGATTTAAAGGTGGCGGAGGTAGAAGGAGAGGAAAAAGCGAAGGAGGTAGAAGGAAAAGAAAAGGTGGAGGAGGTAGAAAGAGAGGAAAAGGCAGAGGAAGTAGGAGAGGAAAAGGAGGAGGAGATTTAAAGGTGGAGGAGGTAGAAAGAGAGGAAAAGGCAGAGAAAGTAGGAGAGGAACAGGAGGAGGAGATTTAAAGGTGAAGGAGGTAGAAGGAGAGGAAAAGGCTGAGGAATTAAAAGGGGAAGAAAAGATAAAAGAATGAGGTGGATTTTTCAGTGCGCTCACGTCGCAACCGAAAGTGGCACAAGGTTAGTTTAAAGTGGGATTAACGACAATACCGTGTAAAGATTGCTCAAGGCCCCTCGGCACATCCTCTTTTGGGGGACAGTTCAGACGCCATGTCCTCCTTTGAAGGTGAGTTACTGCCTGTTGGGATGATCATCCTCCCCATCCGGGCCTGAGCTTAATATTAAATTCCACTTCCCTCGAAAGAAGTGAGCTTCGATACAAAACAAAAAATTATGAAGAAGAAGAACTATACATTGACAGCCGACGATTACTACTACTACTACTACTACTACTACTTAATCCTGGGTATGAAGATAAACTACATCCAGCAGCAAGACCTCTGATCAGGAGGTTTTGAGAACCGTGAAACCATCCCTCAATTAGTGTTGTTCCCAGGTCCAACCTGACCAGTGTAGTAGCGCCTGTTAGGGCCCCAGCTATGGGCAAATAGCCAACCCTAAAACAAAAACAAAACACTATAAAAGTATAAAAACATAATTATAGTAAAATTACCAACACTACTTATTTATAATATATATTTATTTTAAGCCATAAAATTGTGTTCAAAATATTTAGATTTCAGCATTAAATAACCCATAGCGGTGTTGATATACCGTTAAACAACATCAACCAACCAAAATGAAAGAACTCTTTTATGACATTAATCCATATAATATTCTACGATTTCTTAAAGAAATCAAACTGTATTTTAAAATGTAACTTCAATAAAACTACAACATAAAACGCACATATCATAGCCTCTAGTAATGATGTCCATACAAACATGTATACGCACAAAAGCTGCGTATCATTTACCATGTATTCTATTGTGAAAGGAGAATAACCTATATATTTTATTACTTCCAAGCTAACAAGAAACCATGAAGGAGTTAATATGCCATTTAAAAAAAATCAATCTACTACGACTACTACTACTACTACTACTATCGACTGAGCCAGTTAAATAAGTACAAAGAAATGGCGGAAAGTGAATCGGGAGAGAAGAAGGAAGAGAGCTATAGTTGTGCAGACTATTTTATAACACTTCTTCATGTGCGCCTCCTTTCAGGACGTAGGTGATCATGGCTCTCCGCAATTTCCTGATCTTTGTAGCTCTTAATAAATTTTATCTTTTTGTTATCTCTCCTAAACCTTGTTCCGCAAGTATGTTTTTTTTCTTCTGTCCTTCTTGCTTTCAGCCTGTCCTGTGAGTATCATATTTTCCAAGCCCTTTTTCCTCATCTTGTGCCCTAGTAACCTCAACTGTCTCATCCTGATGTTAAATTTGTCCTTTTGCTCCTATTTTTTCTAAAAGTTCGTCGTTTCTCACATGTTCGGTTCATGGTATACTCAGCATCCTTCTGTAGAACCACATTTTGTTGCTTCAAGTCTCTTCATCATCTCTAAGGAGATTGCCCAGCATTCACTGCCATATAAGGGGACATATGACGTAACAGTTCATCATACTTTTCTTTTTTCTAACGAAGTTTTTTTCTTCTGTTTCTTAATACTTTGCTTAGCTTTTTGAAGGCACATTTTCCTATAGCATTTCGCACGTTCCGTCCTCTGTTAAAACACTTCCAAGATATCTACATTTTTGTATCTCTTTGATTTAGGTACCCCGATTTGTAATTTGCATTTTGGCCTCATCCTTTTGCTAACAAGCATGTATCCTGTCTTCTTGCAGTTTATACTTAGTCCTTTCTTCTCGCTCTCTGCGGAAGTTTTTGTAGTTTTCTTTCCGTGTCTGCTATCAACACAGTGTCATCTGCATATCTTATGCTGTCAAGATTGTGGCCGCAAATAATAAATCCCGGTAGGACTTCTAATTCTCACGGAATCTTCTCGCTTTATAGTCCGGCGAGAAGACACACCCTTGTCTTATATCCCTTTCTATTTTTGCTTATAGTTATACTCATTTTCTATCCGTTCTCGAATCTGTCAAGCTTGCTAAGCAGTTCCAACAGATCTATGTGGCATACTTTATCGAACGCCTTTTCATAATCTATAAAACACAGGTACACATCCCTCAGCATCTGCATTGCCCTTTAGTGTTACTATTAATAATAGGAACACCTGGCAGGGTAGATTGGAGAAATATACTAAAGAGCAGATTTTGTGATGAGCGCACTTTGAACTATTTCGTTTTGATCGCGTGGAAAGAGGGTGAAAAACTCTACTTGGTTTCAGTGAGAAAAAAGAAAGAAAGAAAGAAAGAAGATAGAAGTGTTTACCGTCTCCTGTTAATACGTTATAAATAATGGACTATTTCGTTTTGATCACGTGAGATGACAAAAGACATATCAAAGACGCTACTTGGTTTCAGTCCGAAAATGAAAGAAAAAAAGGGGTGACAGAAGCGTTTGACGTCTGTTACCGTGAAATTTAAAAAAAGTTGTGAATATCAGATTTTTTTTTCATTTGTATCCTCTTCTTAAAATAACGACCAGCATTCATATTTATGATTGTTATTTCACTAATTTATTAAATATTTAACAATGTGATAGACGAATTTCTACGGGTATTTTATTTTCTTAGAACTCGCCATGGGCTTAGCTGATCATTAACTGAAGAATTAAGATTCATCAGAAAAGTCAAATAGAAAATTCAGAATGCGTATAAGTGACGACATGAGTGGACTGGTAAAGAAAACCTATTGGTAAATATGCCTTAAGGTTGGTTTCAGTGGAAAAGAAAAGTGACGTTAACAACAGCCAGAGGCAATAGTAGAAAATCACAATCATATTATTGTGTCTAATATCATATCTGCGTCAATTGAATTTTTTGAACTTTTTAATCTTTTGGACCCGGCCCTACAATATACAAAGCAGGAAACGTAACACACAGACACTAATGATAATAAACAAAATGATTGACATAACTCTTCCAACATTTTTCAACAGTTAAAGAAGAGATAAAGAAAAGAAAAAAAAAAACAAAATGTCTGACAATGTTAAACAATATTTTAACAGAATGTTTGTCTTCTTCAAGTTATATTTAAACGAATTTTTCAAGTATAAAAATATATAAATCTACAAAAAATTATTATAAGTTTTGTACAAACATTACTTGTATAAGATTTATTACTGACCGAATACAGTAATTGTGGCACAAGGCCAAAAAAAAGGGGGAGAAATGTATCAAGGCTGACCGACACTAACTATCCTATACATAGCTAATTAGATTCACGACCCATTCACTCGTTACAATTTACTCATTCACCATAAGAATCTATCCATCACCATTCACACCTACATACACCAAAATACCTCACACATACAGAAATTTATTTTTTACACCCTAAAAAAAAAAAAAAAAAAAAAAACTCCCCATGATGTAAAAAATTCAATATGGACATTGTTCTTAATATGATGGCGATCTTGTTCATCTTGAAATTTTTCGTTAGTTTATTAGTTACTAACAGGAATTAATTAAAAGGCCAACTATAAATCTTATAGAACTCTCCTGCCATTTTGTTCCTTCCTCCGGGGTGGGAAGTTAGTAATTTGCATACGAAACTCTCTTTATCTTTTCTTAAATAGCGCTCTTGTCTTAACTATTGAAAATTATTGGAAGAGTGACGTCAATCATTTTGTTTAATAATAAGTAATAATTAACGACATGGAAAAATAGTGATTTTCCAAGCGTAGCTTAGATATGGCACAAGGCCGAAAGAATGGAACACCCAGTGAGGACCCAACTCACTACTTAGTCGTAACTGTTCTAACGATATAAGCTTGCTAACCATTACACCGCCCCGAGGTGTCCATACGGCATGGAAAGTAATGATGAGGTTTCAAGAAAAAATAGAAAGTACAAGGAAACTGGAAACCAGAAAAGGACAGCAGAAAATTATGGTATAGCAAGAAAGGAAGGGCGAGAGAATCTAACACTTACAGGTCGTATTAAAGGCAAAAGAGATGCACTAGCAGACATCAAGTGTTCTGCTTCACGAGTGAAGGGGTGTCCGAAGACGGAGAAAGTGGGATTTTTAGGTGGCAATAATTATTTAGAGGAACAGAAGATGGATTTAGAGGGTCGCAATGAAGACCAAGTCCTGGAAGAACATGGCGTACAAAAGAAGAGAATTTGGTATTATTATTATTATTATCATTTATATTACTAATAATAATTGGAACCGTTGAGAATAGTGAAATAAAAGAAGAGGAAAAAGAAGGAAGAAGAAAGAGGAGGAATAGAAGAAGAAGAAGAAGAAGAAGAAGAAGAAGAAGAAGAAGAAGAAGAAACGAAAGAACGAACGAACGAACAAACGAACAGGTGGAGGAGGAGAAAAAGGAGTGTTAGGGGGTGTTGGTTGAGGAAGAGAAGAAGAAGAAGAAAAAGAAAAAAGAAGTGGAAGAGAAGATGAAGAACGAAGAAAGTTGGAAGAAGAAGGAGAAAGAGGAGGAGGAAGAGAAGAAGAAGAAGAAGGAAGAGGAGAAGAAGAAGAAAAAGAAGAATAAGTAGTAGTAGTAGTAGTAGTAGAAGAAGAAGAAGAAGAATTTATTGGTTAATTTCTTTTTTACGTCTTATCAACCTTTTGCAGATTATTTAAAGCCAGGAAATATTTTCATATTGTAAGGATATTTTATGGAGATAATAATGATTTACTAATACAAGTTTTACTAATTAACCCATAGCTAGGGGGAGAAAAGGTGGATTCATACTTTTCTCAAGGCTATTTGTGCGTCAGTGAATATAACGACCACCTAGAATTGAAAATAGGAGAGTCGATTTCCAATTCCCGAGCGGTTATCCATTACACCAATGCGCAAAAACCATTACACCGACGGCATCTGGTATTCCCAAGCAGTCGCTGGGGCCAGGTTCGACATTGCATTATTTTTGATGATTGTACGAGAACCGGTGTTTCAACACGATATGGCCGTATGTCTCAAAAAAGAAAAAGAAGAAGAAAGAGAAAGCGGAGGGGGGTGATAAAAAAGGAGGTGGAAGAAGAAGAAGAAGAAGAAGAAGAAGACCAAGAAGGAGAAGAAGGAGACGAAAGAGAAGAAAGAGAAGAAAGAGAAGAAAAACAAGCAGCTAAAGAATAACTTTTAGAAGAATAAGAAAGAAGACGAAGAAGCAAAATAAAGCGGAGTAGGGGAAGGGGAGGAATAGAAGAAGGAGAGGACAAAGAAGAAGAGAAAGAGTAAGAGGATAAAAGCGAGAAAGAAGAAGAAGAAGAAGAAGAAGAAGAAGAAGAAGAAGAAGAAGAAGAAGAAGAAGAAGAAGAAGAAGAATTGTAGGGAAGAGAAGAAGCAAATGAAACGGGAGGTGGAATAGAAAAAGAAGAATAAGAAAAGAGGAGGAGAAGGGGAAGAAAAGGGGGAGGAAGAGAAGAAGAAGAAGTGTAGGGAAGAGAAGAAGCAAAAGAAGGGGGAGGTGGAAGAAGAAAAGAGGGAGGTGAAGAAATGGGGGAAAAATGGAAGAAGAAGAAGAAGAAGAAGAGGGAGGTGGAATAGAAGAAGAAGTGAAGAAGAAAAAGAAGAAGAGTTAGACGAGTAAGAAAGAGAAGAAAAACAAAAGGAGCAGGAACAATAGAAGAAGATGAGGAAGAAGAAGAAGAAGAAAAAGCGAAGAAGTGTTAGAAGAATGAAAGAGAAGAAGAAGCAAATTGAGGAAAAGAAGAAGGAGAGGACGAAGAAGAAGAAGAAATAGTAAGAGGATAAAAGCGGGAAGAAGAAAAAGATGAAGAAGAAGAAATTGTAAGAAAGAGTAGAAGCAAAAGAAGGGGGAGGTGGAATAGAAAAAGAAGAGGAAGAAGAAGAAAAGAGGAGGAGGAGGAGGAGGTAAAGAAAAGGAGGGAGGAGGAGAAGAAGAAGTGGGAGGTCGAATAGAAGAAGTGAAGAAGAAAAAGAAGAAGTGTTAGAAGAATAAGAAAGAGAAGAAGAAGCAAATTGAGGAATAGAAGGAGGAGAAGAAGTAGGGGCGACTAACACCGTAAAAACTGACGCTATTTAGCGTGATACCAACCCTTCGTATTAGTACAATTAGTAACATTTATAAAATATAGCCATAATCGTGACTTATTGGGAGATCATGTTGAAAAAGGAAAGAAGGCAGAAGAAACGTTCAAGATGGGGATGGAAAAAAAATGGAGCAAACGATGACAAAAGAATAAAAGTTATGACGACGATAGGAAGGAAAAATGATGAGTGTGTAAAAGATACGGGGGCGAGTGGGTGCAAATGGTGGGGAGTGACAAAAGAAAAAGCGGGGAGGAAAGTGAGTGAATCCTGGGAAGAGGAAGGGGAAAGAAACGGTTCGATGAATCGTGCGATTCGCCGACCAACAGCGGCAATTAATATTCTGGCTGCCCGAACCCAACCAAAAAATGAGGGTTGGTCGGAGGTGGGGGTGCGGGTTGTTGGAATAACTACAAATGTTTTATGACCCACTTAATCATCGACGCTTCCGTGGCTGAAGTGGTTAAGATGACGTTCATGGATGTCACGTTAGTTTAAAAGCTATTGATTTCTGAAATATACTCAAGTGGCTGAAGATTGTGCCAACCAATAGGGTTGTGGGAAAAAGCAATAATAAGATAGATTAAAATTAGTAATAAAATTATAGCAATAATAAAGAACATTTTAATCGAGAATACCACAAAAAGGAACAGCAATAAGACAACGAAAACTAGGAGTTAATTAAAAGGAATAATGAAGAGTGTATAGAGCCAGAGTGTTGGGATAAAAAGCAACAATAATAAGATGGAATAAAACTAGTAATGAAATAAGAACAATAATGAATCTTTAAACCCAAAATGTTGTGGAAAAAAAAAAAAAAAAAAATAACCCAAAAAACAGTAAATGATAGACACTCATCGGTTGAGAATGTCTGCTCTTAAGCCTCGTATAATTTTATTAATCTAAAATTATTTTGAATTGAAAGATATTTTAAAGCCGGAGTCTTAACCAAGATCGAACTTACTATAACTTAGAGTGAAATGTGTAATTTTTTTTTTTCGATATTGAAATCTTCAATGAGTAACCCATAACGATGAGTTGGCAATTACATGAGTTGGATGTCATTCGATGATAAATATGGCCCCTTTTACGAGTCAACAATAATAAAATCTATATTCTTATTCAATACAGATTATCACTCTTTTTAAATACTTTTTATGTCCATGTTCCTTCTCCACGCATTAATTACATCTCTTCCAGCAATATTATTAGTCCTGATCTGGCAGCTCGACTTCAGTCAATTGCCCATCGCCGTAGAGTTTGCCTCTCTATGTCTTTCCTAAAAATACTTTCATGATAATTGTTCAGATGAGCTCTTCGTTATGGTACCTAGATAGTTTTAAAATTTAAGCTCAGCACTCGACTGGCGTCGAGATCTCATTAATTTACAGTTAAATTGGCTTACAGTTTTTTTTTCTCGCACTTCCCGCTTATGGAACTCCCTTCCAGCTCCATGCTTTCCGGCAAAATTTAATCTGCAATGTCAATCGTTATCTACTGTCCACCTGATTGCTCTTTCCTCTTTCTGCTCATTACTAATGCCTCTGTTTCTAATTTCTCCACACCCTGTAACCCCCCTTGTGTCTCTCAGTGGCTTTTCACTGCCTTGCTTTAGGTGACAGAGATTAAAACACACACACACACACACATACACACACACACACACACACACAAATATATATATATATATATATATATATATATATATATATATATATATATATATATATGTATGTATAATTAGGCAGCATGTCTTCATTCTAGCATGTTTCATTGAATAATATAGACATATGGTGTCTACTTATTTTTATACTGATCCTTTCCAGTTGTCTAATCAAGAAACTAAGGTGAAATCCATTAAGGAAGGCGCCGTAGTTTTTTTTTTCTTTTAGCCGAAGTACTTTCGATCTTTTCTATGATCATCTTCAGGTGTAAATTACAAAGAGAAACTTATTGTAACTGCGATAAAATCTGCATTCCTTTGTGATGGGGATTTTTAAAACACCCACAAACGCAGTCTGTTTTCGCTCTTTGAAAAATTAAAATTTATCTGTTGTAGCTATAGAGTTTTTTTTTACAAATCAAGCGTTTAAATATAAGGGAGGTGATTGGGAACGTTCGCACGTGTTTTTAAAAGTCACCATCATTATAACTGTATTCTAAAAGATAACGTCAACGAAACTACAACACAAAACATACATATCACCGCCTTTAGTAATCATATCCACAAAAACATGTATATGCACAAAAAGCTGAGTATCATCTACCATGTATTCAACTGCGAAAGCAGAATAACATATCATATTTTTCTTATTTCCAAGCTCTCAAGTAAATTAAACTTCGACATTAAATGACCCATAAGGATTTGATGAACCGTTAAACAAATCAATCAAGACCGTGCAATTACACTACTCACCGACGACACGACTAAAACAAAGACAAGATTCGAACCGTTACTCGAGTTTCACGCTACTGCGATCTTCAAGCGAATAGAACGTTGTGGTCGCCTAATCATCGCGGTAACGTAAATTGCGTCAAGCAGTTCGTACTATATATATATATATATATATATTTTATACACGCACGCACACACACACACACACACACACACACACACACACACACACACATATATATATATATATATATATACAACTGGTGTAACAATAAAATCATCCCAATCGTGTAATAACATAATTATTCATCACACAAAATATTTAATAGCTAAAAAAAAGCACTAAACTAATTGAGCGTCTTTTTTCCAGGTTTTCAGATAAACAGTTAAGACATCTTGGCGCCATTTGTTGTAGGAATCACGGAAAAATGCTTTGAGTTATTCATCTAGAAAGAGAACCCTTCATGAACTTCCGATACTTAACTATGGATTAATTAATAATGGACATGCCATTTTCGTTTATGATCGATTTCATCACGATTCTTGTGTTAAGTTTGGAGAGTAATTCTTATTGCTCAAAGAAGAGCCCACTAGTGTTATAAAAAAACTCGAGGAATTCCATTAAGATATCTTTAATCATTTCTAAGATATAACGGTTCAGAACTTCATATGACAAACGAACAATTTGGCTGTTACACGATTTGTATAAATTTGCTTTTACACGGTATATATATATATATATATATATATATATATATATATATATATATAAAGGTGAACAGTGAAGTCAACACTTAGAGGCGACAGGCTGTTTTATGCTAGACGCAATCATAAGGCTACCACATTACACACGCTCTATCTCTCATATTAAACACTTTATTCCATAAATATAGCACACCTTAAGAGTATATTTCTTCATATATATATATATATATATATATGTGTGTGTGTGTGTGTGTGTGTGTGTGTGTGTCTGTGTGTGCGTGTATGTATGTATGTATATCTTTATGGTGTGTATGTGTGTATTTTGGCATCAAATTCTCTTTTAGGCATGTCTGAATATATTAAAACCGTTATATTTGCTTATTTTTATCAGAATCCTTTCATATTCAGGAATATTTTCCCGTATATTACAATTAAATGAGGCAAGAAATACACTAGAACCGTGAGAATCACTTTTATTTCACAAGTTGCTCCTCGTCTGATGATCTGAGAAAGAGATGGAAAGAGCATGGGAAATAAAAATGATTCCCACTATTAAGGTGCATTTCTTGCTTTTCTTATTTAGATATAATACGGAAAAATATTTGTTAATATCAAAGGATTAAGATCAAAATAAGCAGACATAATGTCTTTAAGTTATTCAATCAGGCATATATATATATATATATATATATATATATATATATATATATATATATATATATATATATATATTCTCTGATAAAATCTATAGAGAGGATAGTAGATAAAGGAATAAAAGGAAAAAGAGTTAAATATATTTTCCTCATTTCTTTTTTTTATTCTATTCATACATATATGTGTGTGGATATATTTTGTTTTTATATATATATATATATATATATATATATATATATATATATATATATATATATATATATATATGAATAGAAGAAAAAGAAACCTCATGAAAATTTTTTATGTCTCTTTTTTCTTTTATTTATACTATTCTCTCTCCAGATTACATCTAAGAATATATATATATATATATATATATATATATATATATATATATAAAAAATATGATTACAACGCTACATATGAGTTCTCATGTTTCAAAACAGGAGCCGAAAACTTCAATATAATTATTTGAATTAAATTGAATTAAAGTATCAAGCTCTGTTCCATCTTCAAGAAAAATTTTGGTACAGAGCTTGGTACTTTAGATGACACAGTAATCTCAATGAGGTGCCATTCTCTGAGTGTCTATTGGGTTTCAAGCTCGCTCCAGACCTCAAGTCATAACGATTCTGAAAAAGTGTTTAGATTACTGTATCACTCCAGGAAGGTTCATACATCTAATATTTCTAATCAGTATGATATTCTTTGAAATAAATATTAAAATTATGAACCAAACACTTATCTCTACCAAGAAATATTGAATTTAGGAATCTTGTAATGATAAAGCATGGCAGAAGGAGTTCGATACTTTCTGGAGTGATATAGTGATCAGAACACATTTTGAACATCTTTCTGGATCTTATATATATATATATATATATATATATGTGTGTGTGTGTGTGTGTGTGTGTGTGTGTGTGTGTGTGTGTGTGTGTGTGTGTGTAATTTATTTAAAAATATCATTCCAACGCGCTACATAAGAATTCTCATGTTTCAAAACAAGAACCGAAAACTTTAGTATAATTATTTGAATTAAATTGAATTAAAGTACCAAGCTCAGTTCCATCTTCAAGCGAAATTTTTTGGGAAAAAAAAATTCGCTTGAAGGTGAAACAGAGCTTGGTACTTTCGATGACACAGTACTGATAGTACACACGGAAAAGGTATTACAAAATAACCTACAGAAGGTAGCATGGGAGAATGAAAAGAAAGGACTAAGCATAAAATCCAAGAAGACATAATGCATGATTATCAGTAAGAAGAAGAGTCCGAAATGCGATTTGAAAGTCGGGAACGCTAGAATCAAGCAGACGCAATTGTTTAAATATGTGGGAAACGTCTTGACAGAAGACGGTAAGTGCAACCCTGAGATCCGTTGACGTATTGGGATGGCCAAGGACACATTCCAAAAGCTGATTATTGCGAGACAGGAGGATTTCTTTGGTAACAAAGAAAAGGATACTGAGCTGTTACGTGACATCTGTCCTATTTTACGGCAGCGAATATTGGACGATTTCCTCAAAGACGAAGAAGAGACTCGAGGCGACGGAGATGTGCTTATACAGTAGGATGCTTAGGATATCACGGACCGAGCGTGTGAGCAACGATGAGGTCTTAGAGAGGTAGCATACAAGGAGGAGGCTTATACTTAAC